GACAGAGAGAGACAGACAGACAGAGAGACAGACAGACAGACAGAGAGAGAGAGAGAGAGAGAGAGAGAGAGAGAGAGAGAGAGAGAGAGAGAGAGAGAAAAAAAACTACCACTTGTGTTGTCACACATACACAACTTGTTCAAAAAAAACTCTGACAAAAACTTAAAGCCAAAGCCATCATCATCGTTGTGAATTTTACATTTGGATGTTCAATTTCTCGGATCGACCTTGTGCCCGTGCCTGTGCCTGTGGTGGTGGCGGTGGTGGTGGAGGTGGGCTGGCTATAGGGGTCGTTATGGCCGAGAATAGGCTGCTGCGGTGGGGGTTGCTGCTCGTGGTGTTGTTGACCATGGCCAACGCCACGAGGATCCCCCGAGTTCAGGACTGGGATGAAGCTCGCAAGCATGTCACCCTCGCTGAGATGCAGGCCGCCACGGAAATGACACCGGCGGGCCTCTTTCAGGAAGCCACGCAGCGCTGTGGTGAGAAAAAGTACTGGTCCTGCTTTGCCCTCTTTGACATCTTCTCGCAGGCCTTCCCCAACATCTCCAACGGATTTTCCAACAAGGCCATTGCCCTTGAACGGTCCGTGCATGTCCTCGTGCACCACGCCATCGCGACTTTGATTTTTTTTTTTTTTGGTGTGTCACAAGCTCACTAGCCACGGTGTTTTGTTTTATGGCGGCAATTGCGCCTCATTGCCTCCTGTCCTTGAACCATCGAGCACAGCCTTGGCAAAACGCCCGAGGCCCTCACCATCTTGAATAATACCTTGAAAAACTTTCCCAAGGAACGCGACGCCCTTCGCATCATCTTTGGCAACTCATTACAAGCCCACGCCAATGCTCTCATTAGCAAGGGTGAGTTTTTTCCCCTCCTGTGCTTCCTCAAAGCCAAGCTCAGTCTGCGCCGCTGGCGCGTTGGCGTTTGCACGCAGGTGATCTAATGGGTGCCCTCAGCTTCATGCACGAGTCGCTTCAGTATGTGCAACCGCACGCCCACCATTACTACAACATTGGGCAGCTCAACGAGCAATCGGGGCATTTCAATGCCAGCCTCAAGGCGTTGGAGGCCTACAACAAGTTTGTCCAACCTTTTGCTCTTTCCTCACGGTTCTCACGAGCCTTTTACGCATGGCTCATGGTGTGTCCCGTGTCTTGCAACAGGGCGCTGGAGCTCGACCCGCAGCTTCAGCCTGCACTGGCCAACTCATGCCGAGTGACGGGGGCTCAGGTAGGAGTCGTGCCACCCTCTTTTTCATGTCCACATGAGTGTGCCTTCTCATGCCACCCATCATCTTGAGCGCCGTAGGCAGCGAGCCTGGGAGCTGGTCTACATAGTATGTTCTCCCCGTCAATTCAGGGCGTGTGTCCTGTGGACTCTCTATGGACTATGGGTACTTATTCTGGCTTTAATCCCCCCTGCAACTACACAGTGAAAAGCCTTGAGGAGCGCCAATACTGGTTTGAAATTGCCAAGCAGCGCTGCGTTCGAGCGCTGCAGCTCAATCCAAGCGATGCCCAGACCATGATGCAGGTTGGTGTCATGATTCAAACCTTGCTACTCAGTTCATTGCCTGATCCCATCTCAACACCCCTCCCCCGCCAGCTGGGTCTCCTTTTTCGTGAGGCTTTGGACTTTAAAACCTCCGCCCGGTGGCTCGAGGATGCACTGGCCCTGGCGCCCACAGACCCCATCATCATGTGCAATCTCGCTTCCACCCTTGCGAGGTATGGCACCCAGCACATGCGCAAACGCTTACCGGCCTTTGTCTCGTGAGCCTCTCATCACATTCTCATGCCGCATCTGGCTCAACCATGGTCACACCGCGAATAGAGATGGCCAAGTCCCGCGTGCCGTGGCCTTGTTACGAGAAGCCATCAAGACGATCGAGGGTTCGTTGCTGGTACAATGACCGTATTCACCATTCAATATCGCCGATGCAAGTTGTTCTCGCGGCTGCTGATGCGCCCTGTCTTGCCACTTTCCTCCACATTGGCAGCTCAGCACATTCCGCTTCTTTACAACACTATTGGCACCTATTTAGCCCCACACAACCGCACCGATCATTCCGGTACAACCGGCTGCATGTTTTTTTTTTTTGTTTTTTTTCGGTGCTTGAAAAGCTCACTTTGGCGCCTTGCCCTTGAATCTCTCTGCGCGTTCCTGCATTCGTCGTTCCCTCAGCGATCGAAGCCGTGCAACAATCATATGACCTTTTGGTATGATGTGCCTGTCCGTAACTGCACCATCCATTCGAGTTTTCTCACAAGACCCGCGTCGCCTGGCTCCTTCCAGTTGGCAATGCTGCCGTCCCCAGCCGAGTGTGGTGTGCCCATCAGCCCCAGCATGTCATGGCGCGTTGTGACAGACTTTCGCGACTCACAGCTGGCTGATGTTCAACTGCTGCTGCCAATGTCTGGTGGCGAGCCATTTGGTATCATACACAACTGACTGCATGCGTTCTTGTGCGTTCTTGCCCGCTCCTTTCGGCCATCCTCACAACAAGATGCAAACCAATCTAGGCCTGTCTGTTGCGGCCACAGCTCTTGACGAGTCCTTTCCGATTCCGCTGTTATTCAAGGAGAAGGAGACGCTTCGGGTACACTTACACGATGCTTACGTGGTCCGACCCAATGGCGTCATCTTTGCTGGCCCGGAAATTTTGGTCACCGGTCACACCACTGATGTAAGTTTTGACACTTTGATGCCTACACGCAAAGAAATAATGGCATAGGCAGCTACCAAGGTTGCTGTGGTTGCTTGACACTTGTTTGTCGTACCAAATTTGTAGCTGCCACGGATCTTCAAACCGATGGCCAATGAGTATGCTGCACCTACGCTCATTACCGAACCCACGCTGTCGCTGCTCAACGGCAAATCAACCAATTATTATCACCTGACTGCCGAAGTCTTTACAAAGTTCGTGTGCTGGGCTGTATTTTCTCAAAGTCGTGCCGTCTATCGCGTGTCTAACTCAACTATCATCGGCCACCGGCACTAACATTACACGGACGCAGACTGATAACCTTTTATCACACCATGCCTGAGCTTTTGGCGACAGCACGTCTCTTGCTGCCTCCACGCTCCAGCAACCCACTTGTCTGGGAAGGAATCGAGCTTGTTTGTGCGTTCGGAATCGTGCTTTGTTTTGTTCAAGGCACACCTCATCATGTCATGGACGTCGCACTCGCTCATTCTTGCCCGTGCGCTCAGTCGAATTGTTGCACGATCATCCGGTCTGGGAAGGAGCAGTCCTCCCTTGGCATGAGCGTGTTATCGAGTACAACACCGACAACAGCGCGTAAGCACGACTCAAGGCTAGCCCTGTGGCTTGTGGCCTCCTGGGTACCAACGTGTTCTCACAGACCTTGACCAATTCTTAGTTTTAAATTCTCAGACCTGACGCTGCTTGCGTATCGTGCTGTGAATCCGCATGATTTTCGCTACGAGGACCTCTGGTCCGACTATTTACCCTCACGCGTGCGTCCAGTAATGCGCCTGGACTGCCAGCCAAATTACCATCATGTTCTCGTGTCATTGCTGACCAGGCGCACTTGTATTAGGCAAGCTTGGCATGGCTCCGACAGTGGGCTCAGCACTATCAAGTTGTGGGACGGACCGAGGCTGGCCTGTTAGCAGATCCGATTGTTGTTTTTTGCTCTAGGTCCGTTCACCTGTCCATCATCCCCTTCCCGGATTGCCATCTCTGTCTGCGTCCCGCCTCACCCATTTGAGACTATTGGGCCTTGAAATTCACTAGGGGAAAATCCGGCGTTCGAGCTGTGCATGACGAGCATCTTATTGTGTCGGCTTTGCGTGCCAACCTTGGGTCTCGTCTCGAGGTGTCCTTTGCAAAATATGCACTTCGATGGATACGGCCAAGCTGCTGTATCTCAATGCCAATTTCCTCTTGTCGAACGTGTGTTTGGCTCTTCCTTAGGTGTTTGAAACGCCTGCAAATGTAGCCAATCATGTGCGTTGGCACATGGAGTATTTTGGTCGAGCGGTTATCATCATTGGCCCCCATGGTGCTGGCTTGACCAACGTCATTTATGCACCTGATGCCACGGTACGCTGACTCAGTCAATTATCCGCAATTTGCCAGAATCTTGGGCCGTCATCCAAGAACACTGCGCGGAGCAACGGCTAAAAACTCTAATTATGAAACAAAGAGAAATACGGCGTGGTGGCCGGCACTCATGTCAGCCTCTAATCAATACACATGCCTATGCATGTTTGTAGGTCATGGAATTTGCCATGGACCCACACTGCAATCGCTGCTTTGGATATCTCGCCATGGCATTGGAAAATGATTACGTTCTCGTTCCTCAGGTAACGTATCCACAGAATATAAAACAAAAAAAAAAAAAATCACATGGCGGCTGCTTTGTCATAGCAACTCAGGGTCTGATTCAGCTCATCTCGTGTGGCGCGTCATCTTGCCACAACTGCTTGACAGTTGAAAACCTTTTATCACTTGACGTACCAGGCCACGGCTGCAAAGGCGGCTCAGGTGGCAGAGGCCGTGCATCAGGTTCTGCAGCGTCGAGGATATGGTCACCTGTGGCATGCCCATGACGAGCTGTAAAACACATGCCACGGGTCTAATCATGCGCCGTTTGCGTCATTTCAGCTGCAGCTGCACCGCCGGTCTGCGTCTCTTCGTCGCGTGCTTCCGTGCAGGGGCCGCAATAGCACTCAAACGTTGTCTCACTGAATCGATAAAAGTATGGCGCGTCATGAAAGTGATGCTCATTTGTCACGTGTGCAAGAACCTTGCTGCTTAGAAGCGCTCTATTGTCACAAACGTGTCATGTGAGTCGGACAAGACGGCAGTCAGTGGGCGCGAGATGAGCCTTGCAAATTAGGGGACGTGCCGGCCGATGCTGGTGGCGTGCTCGCGGTCTCGCGCTGCACCATGCCGCACTAGATATGTAACGAAATCGCTGCCTCGCATGACGTCCTAATGGCACACAAAGGGTCAGGGGCATATTATGCATCCGTTGCAATTCTTCAATCGAGTCAAAGTAGAAAACGAGCAAAAACTTACTCGATAGGCCTTTAGGCGATAGCGGCGCAAGGTCGGCAGGTCACGGCTGGCGCGCGCAATAATGTGCCGAATTTCGTCGCAGTCGACGAGGTCAAATGGGTTGGCATCACTGTACTCAATAATCTCAACATCGTACATGCAGCGCCGCAAATACAGTTGCAGCTTGCCCATGTGCCTGAGCAGAGACCGGAACAAGGCGCCATCGGTGCCAAAGAAGGCAAAGAGCACAAGGCCTTGACCATGAATCAGCACGTAGTTGAGAAACATCAGCTCCACATACACGCCATCCCGCTGCAGTGACGAAAGAGAGGAAACAAAAATGAGCAGACACAGATGAACGTGAGGAAGCGGTATTGGGTGTCTACCGTTTGTGCAGGCATAGTGGGCCGACAAAGAATCAGATTGCAACAAGCAAAGACAAGCAATCGCACAAACCGTAGAAAGTGTGGTCGTCCAAGCCGAGGTAGCCAAGTCGATTAGACTGCAGACAACTACAAGTTCAGTGCAAGGGTTAGCAACCAAACCGCGAGGCTGACCACCTGCCACATTCCAAGTCTTGTGCAGCGCAAGGTGTTTACCTGTCACGCCTAGATAGTAGAGCGTACGGGCGTCGCCACCTAGTGCAAGCAGTGCAATGGACACGCAAACCCAAGTTGGAAGCAAAAGACATCATCATGATTTGTCAAAAAGTTAAACAAAGCACCAGGGTAGTAGATGAGCTGACTGGCGACAGCATCTAGCATGGTGAACATACTGTTTGAGCCTGACGAGGTCATTTGGTCTGCAGCTTCATCAACAAGCTGGTCGTCTGCCTCAAAAATGCTGTCCTCGTCCAGCTCGTCGTCCAAGTTCAACATTGCGTCGTCACTTCGACTCCCATTCCGCTGAACTGGCACAACGCTTACGTCGTCACCGTTGTATGAGCTCGCGCTATGCTTGCCCAGTAGGCTCGCCTGTGGTGTCAAGAGTGTAGTAACATGAGTTGCCGGGTTCACAATGGCTCGAGTAGGCGTTGGGACGGATTGATGGCGTACCGTCTCATCATCGGTTTGGGGCAGGGCTTCAGCGGCCAAGTCTGCGCGTCTGCTCACACATCCAAGCAAGGGTAGGATGAGGGGAGTGTTTACCAAAGACCAATGTCTGTGATCACCCAACTTACCGCCGACGCCGCATGATGAGCATGATGCAAGTAATGACGGTGGCCGTCGTCATGATCAACAAGATCACGCTAAAAACAAAGGGTGATCGCTTTGTGCGAAACCAGCAGTACATGCCCGCGCCCGAACCTGTCATGGCCAGACAACAGGGTCAAAAGTATCATGTGCTCGTCTACACGTGCGCAGCGGGACTTGCAGCCAGAAGAACCACTAACCAGTGTCGGTAAAGGTCAACCACATGCTGCCCACGAGCAAGGCAGGGATACCCCAGCCCAAAAGTGCAACAAGTTTCTTCGACAAAAATTGGGGGATGCGATCCCCGCTCGCATAGTTGCCGAGCTATTGGCCAAGAACACCCCGACGTAGTGTTAGATGAATAAGAGTTTCCTTCAATGTCCATTAACAGATTGGGTGCGGTGTTTGCAAACACTCTGGTCTCACCTCATTAAAGGCTAGAAGTGCGCCCCACACCCGAACACCATGAAGCATGAACCAAACAAACGAGAATCTTATGTTGCAAGGCACCACCTATGGTTGCGCAACAAACAGAGAAAATGAGAAAGAGAGAGAGCAGAACGAGCGCAAATTGAGGGCGGCGTGGTGGGCGCTGGACGGTAAGAAGGACCTACATTGGCCGGTGCTTCACAAGAGACTGAAGCTATGGCAAACCCCAAGGCTGCGACGGCAAGATTGAAGATGCAGAATTGGCGCACGGTCTGCCACCTAAGGGGCACCCAGGCGCAGGTGAGATCGTTGACGCCGTGGCAAGATAAAAGACGAAAGGTGACAACGATTGAGCTTACTTGTTATTCATGATGCACAGGACGATAAAGCCAAATCCAATGATGGCGCCGCCGTAGCCAACATCAGTGCCGGCGTGATACACGGTGTCAAAGTAAGCCTCTTGGCCTGCACACGGACATGGTTGGACGTGGGTGCAAGGAGAGATGGACGGATGCAGGGTCAGGGTGAGCGAGCGGGGTGAGAGTGGCCGCATTTGGGTGGTCTCATGCAGGGCGTAGCAAGTGCATTTGGCGTAGGGGCTGGTGATACGGTGCCGCAACACGACTTACACATGCGGTCCAGGGTGATGGCGGCCATTTTGGCGGATACAAACATCAGGGGTGCCGCCAAGATGTTATTGAGGATGACAGTGGCGCCAATCAGCGCGACGTCTGCGCCTGAGAAAAATAGAAAAGATAAAAAATAAACAACGGGGGCACAGACAGGGTGAGCTGTCACGAAGCAGCAAAGCAAATTTTCTTTGCGGCTCTTGCTCTGCCGCCTGCTTGATAGAATCGACTGGACAAACCGTAGGTGATGGCAAATGCAAAGGCGCCGGGGGCCGAGGGCACTGTTCCATATACAAAGGCAAACAGACTAATCTGTTGACGAGGCAGCACATCATGGCAGCGTTTGAGATCAGCGCCAAAGCGCCATGCAGTCAAATTGACGAGCTGGCACCAGGCAGCAACAAACCTTGTACTCGGTTCCGTCGTCATCCGTGTACTGAATGACGCAAGCCCAGACAAAGCGGAGGCGGTTCACGTGAGGCGAGAAGGGGGATAGCAGCACGATCTGGTCGCCTTGCAACAATTGCAAAGACATACCGTCGTGTCATGAAAAAAGCTGAGCATCAGGGCCAGGACAATGGGCATGAGCAAGGATTTGGCCATGACCAGGAGGATGCTGGTGACGAGGGATTGCCCGCGCAGGACGTGCAGTTTGCCGACGATGCTGGCGCCGAGGTTGAGAAGAGCGAGGGCGCTAAAGGCGCTGCCCAAGAGGTCAAGAGGCTGAGAAATATAATCAGAGGGGTTTTGCTTGAATGCAAAGTTGGCAGCCAGGCCCAGCACGGTGGCGACGACCGGGGGCGTTGTCAGGACTTTGAGGGCCACAACGAGGGCGATGGGACGGCGGCGTCGAACAGGGCGGGGTGTAGTTGACTGAATCGAGCCCGATAGGGGTGTGTCGCTGCCGCCAATGTGGGCTGACTGCCGCGATATTTTATCGGCAGCGTACTCTAGCATGGTGACCATGGTGGGTAGGATCACCAGGAAAGTGATGGGAGCAAAGATGTAAAGGTAGCGCACCAGACCAGCGGGATACCTAAAAGGGACAGTTGCGGAGCAGAAAGGTGAGTGGCCGCAGGCGCAAGCTCGACGGCGGCCTGCGGGGGATGAACTTGAGCTGCAGCAACACACATGGCTGAAAGCACGGGCAAGCCAAGAGCAAAGTCGTTCGACTGGCCAGCTACAATGCCATAAACGCCAGCTTTGGCAATGCCAGCGGGCGTAAATCTGAGGGCAAGCGTTCGTGTGTGAGTAGGTGGCGGCTATGACGGGACAAATCGTGGTGGGATTGATTGACGTACTGTGTGGCAATGACGGTGATAAGGGCAGTTCCGAAAGTGACAATGCTTTTGCCAACAAGAACGCCCAAGAAAAGCGACCAGTCCACGGAGCTAATTGCCGGCAAGTGCGTGCGTGCGTACGACGTGAGTTGGAGGGGGCAATGAGGCTGCGGCAAGCGGGTTGCGGCATGGCCTGGTGACGGGCCGGCTACCTGAGATCAAGCGTGGCCATGGCCGTGAAAATGAGGGCTGGGAGGAAGACGTAAATAAGCAATTTTCCCAAAGTCTTTTGCGCATCAGGGGTCAAGACGCGCAGCCTAAGGTAAGAGGGATTGGGCCGGGCCAACGTGAGCGAGAAACGGGGCGATGATAACTGGAGTGCGGGCTTGCCAGGGCTGTTAGCTCACCTAGCCAAGAAGTAGCCTGCCACAATGACCACGACCACCGAGGTCAGGGCCTTTAGAAGGCCCGTGGTGGCGTCGGCTGCCATCGCAACGCGACCACGAGGCTCGAACCGATGGTACACTTCAAACCTCCCACACCATCCTCCTCCCAACTGCGCGCGCGCGTGTGTGTGTGTGTCCGCGAGGGTCAAAAGGAGAGAGAAATGAATGAGAAGCTTTCGTCCACATGCGCGCGGCGTTGAGGTCGTTCCCGCAGAGAGAGAGAGAGAGAGAGAGAGAGAGAGAGAGAGAGAGAGAGAGAGAGAGAGAGAGAGAAAGAGAAAGAGAGAGAGAAAGAGAGAGAGAAAGAGAGAAAAAAGGAGAGAGAGAGAGTGTGTGTGTGTATGTGTGTGTGAAAGCTTGAGAGAGAGCGCGCGCACAGAGAGAGAGAGCGCGCGCACAGAGAGAGAGAGCGCGCGCACAGAGAGAGATCGAGAAAGAGAGAGCGCGCGCAGAGTGTGTGTGTGTGCAGAGAGCTCTAAAAAAAAAATAAAAAAAATGACGCGAGAAGCCTCTCGATTGAGGACGAGTCAACTTTATGAAGTAAAAGTACGACATGTTGCAGCTCAACGATTTACCTAAAGCAAAACCAAAGTCAAATGACCTCAGAGCTATGTCATATAAATTTGGAGGATGATGCAGTTCGTGCGGCGGTCTGCTTTGGAGGAGCTGGTTTTGCACATGTTGTGATGTGTGCCATTACACCTCAAGGCTGCAACGATCAACTCTCTTCCTTTCTTCCTCCTTGACATGCAGCATATGCCAAAGAACACTGAGACTGGTTGATGCACGTCCCTAGGCACTGCCATCCCCGGATCCTGCAGATCCCAGGCAGCAGGCAACGGAGTAGAGACGAGAGTCCTCTTGATTCACATGTCAATTCGAGCATCTGTCGGTGCCCACGTTCGAGTCCATGCGTGTGGTACATCACAGCACACTTGCCTTGTTCAGGTGTACAGGGGTGTGGAAACAGGACTCTGATTCGAGTTCATGTCAGCCTCTCCTCTGTACCATCCTCCTTTGTTGTACATGTGGTAATTTCACGTTCAGCCCTTTCCACTGAGAAAGTTCCGTATCGTCACTGACTTCGTAACTCACATTTGGTTACTTTGTCTCTCTCTGTCTCTCTCTCTGTCTCTCTGTCTCTCTGTCTCTCTGTCTCTCTCTCTCAAACCTTTCTCTTTCTCAAACCGACCACTCTCTGTCTCTCTCTCTCTCTCTCTCTCTCTCTCTCTCTCTGTGTCTCTCTCTCTGTCTCTCTCTGTCTCTGTCTCTGTCTCTGTCTCTCTCTCTCTCTCTCTCTCTCTCTCTCTCTCTCTCTCTCTCTCTCTCTCTCTCTCTCTCTCTCTCTCTCTCTCTCTCTCTCTCTCTCTGTCTCTCTCTCTCTCTCTCTCTCTCTCTCTCTCTCTCTCTCTCTCTCTCTCTCTCGCGCTTTCAATTTTTGTCTTCCCGGGGGCAACGGCCAGCGCGATGGATGAGGCGCTGATGCCCTTCACGTCGGTGGGTACTTTTGCGCAGGGTGCAATGCAATAGATGGAGGTGCTCGTCAATGTGTCTGGGTCATGACCAGCTCACATCATAACTGCCGTCCCGAGCTCCCACAATGATATTGGTGTTGTTTTCCTTTTTTTTTTTTACCCGGGCGAGCGAGCAGCGGCTGGCTTGTTGACTGCAGCTGCATCATTCACTCACGTCTTTATCCCTGCTGCTCCGGCCAGTTTGGGCATAGCCCCGAGCAAGCGCCTATTGCTCGGGTTGTATTTGATCAAGTGTTCAACCTGCTCTGGGTCCTGGACGAGCGTGTAGGTGGCCACGCCGTACTCGACCGTTCCTGGCTGCTCGCTCGCCTGACCTCACTCGCGCCGTGATTTTACTTCAGGGCTACATCAGCAGCTACAATGAGAGCTTTCAACGCTACTCCGCCTGGACGCTGCAGCCAGCCACAGGTGCCAGGCTACTACTGTGTCTACCCTCTGCGCAAACCGCTAGAGTGGCGGCCACACGAAATGCCTTCACGGCCGCGTTGACATCCACTGCTGCTTCCACTTTGTGCTAGGTCATGATGGATCCGCCGACAAGCCCACGTTCATGACCAGTACCGTTCATGGCCTCATTGTCATCCATGCCAACCAAATCATGCTCTTCTCCGTGGGTGGCGTTCAGCACATGCGTATCGTGTGAGTGCCGACGCCTGTCAAATCACGAATTTGATGACCTGCCGAATGTCACACTCACCCCTTTTGCGCGTCCATCGCCACGGTTTGCTGGCACGCAGGCTTCGCGGGGATAAGACGGGCATCACGTGTGCCGATGCCTCACCCCACAATCAAGTAAGCAGCTATTCTTGCTGGTTTCTGCCCATGCCCGCCACTCACGACGCTTGTCTCTGTACCCATGATGCGGCCAATGGCCTTAGCGCCAAATCATTTGCGGCGGTGCCGGGGCTCTGCACGTTCTGGACCTGACGAAACAACAATTTGTCAAGTCATCCCCGCTGCCAGACACTGGAGACATCCAGACGTTGCGGTATGTCTCTCCACCTCTGGCTTTGCTTGATCCACGCATGGCTTGGCCAATCTTGTATGCTCACTCTGGCCCATCACAGCTGTGGTCGCCAGCTAATTGTCGCGACAACAGAAACTGAGGTGTGTTCTCTTTGCTGCCGTGTGCTGCTGGATGTTGCTCGTCTATGGCAAACGCTGTGGCTCATGTGGCTTGCCCGGTTGTTTGGACCGGATATTGGGATGCACAAATGTAGCTTCTGATGATTGATGGGCGCCAGCATGTTGTTCGATTGCGCACAAAAGCACACAGCGGGGGAACTGCCAATCTTGACCTGCGTGACAACACGGCCGTCACCTGTGGCAAAACGGCCACTGGTCGTTTGGACAACAACATTCACGTCATTGACGTGCGCTCCTTCACACGTTCCCCCATGACCCTCCAGGCACGCCCTCCTCCCATCTTTTTGGCCAACTTCCCCTCTTGTCCTTGTTCGACCGGCGCATCGTGGCTCGACTCTAATGTGCTTTTGATGTCCCACCGTAGGTCTCAGCCGGCGTGCAGGCGCTGTGCCTCTTATCCAATCACATGGTCTCCGCACCACGGGCATTTGTAATCACCCATACCCAGCAAGCCCTGGTTCGTGCCGACCCAAACCGCATCCAGTGCCTGCTAAAGCGTCGCGGACCTCTAATTCCTCTTTTTTTTTTCTTTTTTTTTTTCCATGTGTATGTTGTTGTTGTTGTTGTTGTTGTTGTTGTTGTTGTTGTTGTTGTTGTTGTTGTTGTTGTTGTTGTTGTTGTTGTTGTTGTAGATGCGCAACCTAGCCAATCGCTCGGCCCCGCCGACCTTAATCCCATACCCAACGGTGCAAGACGGCGGGCGCGTCACCTTTGTCTGCGGCTCGCCGAGCGACGCAGCTGTGGCCTTTGGCGACAGTCATGGTACGTATCACAGCTCTTTGCATAGCCCAAATTGGGCTTCATCCACCCCAAAAACAACGTCGGCTGTCTGCCAACAACTGAAAACTGCTTGATACTAGGCATGGTTTCAATTTGGACATTAAACGGAATGCCTTTGGCCTTCAACTACGGCATGCCTCTCCCCGTCGTCAACGACATCCGACTGCACCCCCATCGTGTCCACTTTGACGACCTTGAAGCGGTAAGGGGTGGACACCCATCTAAACTTGGAGTCGTACCATCCAAATATCTCACAATATTTTCATGTTTCGCACAGCCTGCCGCATACATGCTCGTCAACAGCACCAAAACCTCAGATTGGCCCACTGACAAGACCATGCAGTTTCAGCGCCCACCCATTCGCGTCCCCGAAGCCATGCTTGGTCGCGCCACTGTGAGTCCCCACTTTGAAACCTGCCGTTTTCTTTTACACCCGTTCTTGTCGAGTTTGCGTTTTGCTCGTTGCCGCTCATGAATAAGACCTTGGCCGACGATGTTTTAGTGGATGAACTCGGAGCGCGGGCATGCACCAAATGTTCTCAATTGGAAGCCATTTCAGGTTGGCTGCGACTTGTCTTTTGTAACCGTTGCTGCCACATCGTCTCATACATATTATTTTCACCCATGTGCAGGTTCAATACTCGTCGGCAGCACTCTCCGTCAGTAGCCCTAGCAAGTTGAAGGGCAAGCAGTCACGTTTTCACGGCATTGATCAAACCCCGTTGGGCCGCATGGACGGTTCGTGTCTCCCCGGCCCCCCTCCCCAGTCTCATCGATACCCCGCGACAACTCTTGTTGACATCTGTCTGCACCTACCTCGGTGTGCCCGCACCTCAGATTTGGAAGGCATCTCTGCCATGATTCCCCGACATTACCGCCGCGTGCGCAACAAGGTTGATACCACCGCCCCAGCTACGATGCAACTAGCTTGCTACCCTCGGTCGCTCCGTGTGCCTCATGCTTGTGGGTGTTGCAGGATGACAAGCTGGACTTTGATTACCAGCACTACAACGAGACCAACTTTGTGGGCCTCGAGCCCACTGCGCCCAACACGTATTGCAATGCCATGTTGCAGGTGTGTGTAACTTTTATTTCTGGGCCTGTCTGTGCCTTTTTTTCTCCCGGGTGTATCCTTGTCCTTGTTCTTGTCAAACCAGCCCAAGTGTGGCAGCTCACCAGCGTCTTGGGCTTGACGGCTCTGCCTTTCACTTCTTCTCAAAACGCCATGTAGACGTTGTTTTATCTGACGCCCGTTCGATCTCTTCTGATGCAACATTACTGTGAGGATGAGTTTTGCCTCGCCTGCGAGCTCATGTTCCTCTTTGATATGATGGCCAAGCGTAACACCATCACGTGCCAGGTGCGTCAGTCGGGGTGGGGTATTCACGCTCAAGCCAACTGCAACGACCCACGCCCTCCCTCCTCATGCGAGCACACTTGATTGGGCTTGTTTGTTTCTTAGGCCACAAACTTTGTTCGAGCATTTCGCACCATCCAACAAGCCGTCAACTCGGGCCTCATCATCACCGAGGAGGAGGCCGGTTGGTCTTTTCTTCTCCGCTTTTGTCTCGTCACACCTCTTTTAAATCGTATTGCCGGGTGAGCTCACATACTTGGATGGTACTTTTCACCATGATGCTTCTTGCAGACTCGCCCGACACGGATCTTCATCTGCTCACTCAGCGATGGCAATTTTTCATTGTTACTCAACGTATGTGCTCAATAATGAGTACGGCCCTCGGTTCGGTTGCCTTTTCTCTGACCACTTTCTCACCGCCTCGTTTTTCATATAGTGGCGCGCATTGTGCCCCGTGACCCTGAGGAATTGAGTCATTCGGACAATGGGGGTCCCTCGGCACCCTCAACCGTGTCCGTGACCGTGCAGCCCTCAAATGAGGCCCCTCCACGGGAGAGCGGAAAGGACAGCGGAAGGAGTCGCCGTGGCGGTCGGGCTGGTCGCAGCCGCAAAGATGCACCCACCGACTCTAGCAGTAATGCAATGCGGTCCGTTTCCGTTGCGTGCACGCATCAAAGATCTGCCAAAGCCATTGGATGCGTAGCATACGATGACTCATTTGCTGTCGCTTGAATTTGGATTTGCAGTATGCTGGAAGCTGCAGCCGCAGCCGCAGCCGCCAACGATGCTTCCGCGTCTAGTCCTATCCATTCCCTCTTCAATACAGCCCCCATCAAAACCATGACCTGCAGTGTGTGCCAGGTTGGTGGAACGACTCGAATTACGACTCACTCCTTGTCTGGCTGGCTTTGATATTGGCTCGACTGTGATTTTTACAGAGTTCAACGGTGTCGACTACCACCTCGTTGACCCAAGTCCTTCGCTTTCCTGAGAACGGCACACCCGAGGTCCGCAACGCCGATGCTAGCGCGCAGTTTGTCGAACCGGCTTTTGCCCACTCAACCTTTGTCCCTCTTGTCACCTGATTGCAAACATGGCTTTAGGAGGATGCGCAGCTTCGATTTTCAGATCTCATCTCCAGCGTGCTGATGCGGGAACAGACGGACAAAGTATGGTCGTTTGCCGGCAGTCGCGCAGTAGCAAGCATGACCTAGTAAGCTCATGATGTTTTGCTGCGCAGGCCTATTGCTCCAAATGCAAGGAATTCAAGGTCCATGTGCAGGTGTTGGAAGCCTCGACCCTTCCAGGCGTCATGGCCTTTTCCTGCCCTCTTACTCGGGTTCGTACGCCAGGCTTAAGCCTGCTTGCACCCAGCATCTTGAATTGCACCTCTGTTGAATTTACCTTGTGACTGACTGCATTGCGATCTTGCAGGATCGTCATCGGTGGGATGCACGCATGCGCCTGCATCAATCTGAGGAGCATGTTGCCACCTCTAAACGAGCTGCCGCCGTCGTGATGGCCCCTGCTGAGCTGCGACCTTGCGATGTGCTGCCAGACCCCAGTGCTATTCCCGACTACGTGGCAAAGGTGGGGTTTCTTTCTTTTTTTTTTTTGTTTTTGCATGTGGGAATGTGGGCGCACGTCTTGCCTTAGCTGCGCTGATGCCCCTCAATTTGCTTGTCTGTGTTTGAGCGGCAGACTTTGTCCTGGATTCCGATCGAGCTACGTGCACAACTAAATCGTGACAACACAAAACAAAAGCTTGTCATTGAAGAAACCCTGGTCCCCACCACGGCCGCAACGCCTCCGGTGCGACAAATTTGCTCAGTTGTTGTGATTTGCAGTTTTTGTCATTCGAAAGTGCCTCTTCGCTTTCGTCTGCATGCTTGCATTTGCTAATTTTTCTGAACCTCTCTGTGCTGGCTGCGCAGGCTGGCGAGGGCAGCCAATCTGACAGCAACGCGATCGTGTACGAGCTCTTTGCGGCCGTTTACCACGTGCGCGAGTCCAAAACCTGTGGTAACATGGTTTCCATCTTACACGTATGTCTCGACAGCGCACGCGCATATTTTATTTACACGTACACACGCGCCCACACAGACTAATGAAATGTTTTTTTTTTTTTGTTTTTTTTTTTGTTTTGTTTTTTTCTGGTCGAACCAGGTCCCAAGTCATTGCACAGGTGATGGCTCTCGGCCCTGGGTGCTGTTCAACGATTTTGCTGTGAACGTCGTTTCGTGCAACGACGCGGTCCTCTACGACACGACATGGAAGGTAAGTTTAAGAAGCACCTACTGATCGATATACTCGCGAGCATGAACATGATCGATGCGATTTGAGCGTGCTGGCTACCGTGGGCCTTTTTCCACCTTCCACAATTGCCGTTTTTCCGTCGTTCAACCTGACGCTGCATTGCATGGACCATAGACCCCTTGTCTGTATTACTACGTGCAGAAGGACAGCTTAGAGGCGCCCAAGGGCGCGCCGCCTTCGCTACAAGAGCAATTCATCCGGCGCTTGCTCAATGATCCGTGCGTACCACACGTGGGGTGCTTTTCGCCCTTTAAGCGAGCTTGTTTTATCCATGCCCTATGCTCAATGGTGATTGAATTTCCCATGCGTGCAGAAGCTTGAGTGTGCAACGACCGCTTGTGCCCGCCTCGACCGTGCTGGATCGCGCCTCCATCCCTTCCGCTGGTTTGTCAAGTTTAGGCCTGTTTGTTGACTGGCCAGTGTGTACAACCCCGGCCACCCCTTTGTTCACATGACATGCCCTGATCATTCAATCATTGCCCACTAGGTGATCGCGTAGCCATTGATGCCGAGTTTATCTCTCTCCGTGCTGCGGATACAGAGCTACGCAGGTTCGGCTGCTTGCTTTTTTATTTTTTCATGCTGGAAACACGAAAGAGGACGCATCACACAGTTGTAGGCGGGGGGAGGGGGAACAGAACAATATGGCGTTGTCTGGCACATGGAATCGCCGGAGTTGACCCGACTCATGTGACAATTCTCTGGATGGCATCAGCTCTGGGCATCGCAACACGATCCGACAGGCTTTTGTCACCCCGGCCCGCATCTCGGTGGTGGCAGCTTCGGGCCAGCTCAAGGGCACTACAATCGTTGATGACTACATCAAGAACACGGAATACGTACGATCTTCGGGCACCGTTGGCGCAATCTAGGCTTGGTTGATGTATGATGTTCTACTCGCGTGCTCACATGGCTCATATGTGCCCATCATTTGCTGTGCAGGTTGCCGACTACGTGACGCAGTTTTCCGGCATTTCACCCGGAGATTTGACACCTGCCACGTCTACCAAACATCTAACCACGCTCAAAAGTAGCTATGTCAAGGCAAGCTGGATCACCCCCTTGATGGTGCATTGCCAGCGATTTTAACCCCAGTGCTGACCCCTCACTGTTCTGCGTTTGTTTTTCGTTGTCAGCTCAAGGCCATGGTTGAACGAGGCGTGATTTTTGTGGGGCACGGTCTGAAGAAGGATTTTAAGGTGTTGAACATGACGGTCCCAAGCAAGCAAATCCTGGACACTGTGAACCTTTTCTACCTTCCGTGCGTTTTTCTCAGCATGCAAGCGCTTGAGAGTTGTGGTCGGCGGATAGGTGGTGTGGCTTGCTGATCAAGACGTTTTGTTTTTTTGTTTTTTGTCTTAGGAAGCAACGTTTCTTGTCGCTCAAGTTTTTGGCGTGGTACTTTCTGGGTGTGGTGATGCAAGACGACGCACGCGCGGGCCACGACTCGGTGGAAGACGCTCGCACAGCATTGGCGGTTAGTACTTCTTTGTTTTTGTTTCGGGACGCGTTGCGGGCACCCTCAACTTCTCTCTTGACTGTGCAAATGCTAGCTGCTGGATGTCTACGAGGAGTGGTCGCGTGACTCGAGCACGTGGAATGACATTTTGCAGAAACTGTATGATTTGGGCCGCATTCACGGCTTTAAACCACCTGCCAATGCCCGTGAGCACTGTCCTTTTCACGAGCAGTATGGCGCTGAGCGCAAAGACGTCAAAGAAGCAGTGTCAGCGTGACTTGGTCATGGAGCAGCTGGGATCTTGTTTGTTGGCAACAATTTAATCTCACGGATGATCGATGAAGGATCAAGGCGTGCACATTGCTTGATGGACATGTTGGCGTCGCGAATACGCATCACCAAGGGTTGACTCACTGTTTTAAGATCACTCTCTGTTCCCAGAGCTGGAAAACATGCTTTTTTCTTTTCGTTTGTTTACGCCGCCATGCGAATCACTGACTTCCCGAGTTTTGAAGAAATCTTATCTGTTTAGTTCGGGTAGTATCGGCCTGTAGGCTGCTTATCGACGCTCTAGTAGCGCTTATGTCAAGATGATTGGAATATTGGTGTTTGAAAACACCGGTTTGGGGGTAAAGATAAAATGATTGCTGTCCACAAGGGACAACGCTTTGACAGCCCTTGCGGACGAAGGCGTGTCTGCAGCGAGAACGCTTAAGCGCGCTCACCACGGATGCGGCGGGCCAGCTGAATGTCCTTGGGCATGATGGTGACACGCTTGGCGTGGATGGCGCAGAGGTTGGTGTCCTCGAAAAGACCAACGAGGTAAGCCTCAGCGGCCTCCTGGAGAGCAGCGACGGCAGTCGACTGGAAGCGGAGATCGGTCTTGAAGTCCTGGGCAATCTCGCGAACCAGGCGCTGGAAGGGGAGCTTGCGGATCAGAAGCTCGGTCGACTTCTGGTAGCGACGGATCTCACGAAGAGCGACGGTACCAGGGCGGAAGCGATGGGGCTTCTTGACACCGCCGGTGGCGGGGGCTGACTTGCGGGCGGCCTTGGTGGCGAGCTGCTTGCGCGGGGCCTTGCCACCGGTCGACTTGCGTGCGGTCTGCTTCGTGCGGGCCATTGTTTCTGTTGCGACTTTGTTCCTTGAAACAAGAGTAGAAAAATACCCATCGCTCCACCCAGTGAGAGAGAAGAGAGAGAGAGAGAGAGAAAGCAGGAGAGCACACACACACACACACACACACACACACACACACACACACACACACACACACACACACACACACACACACACACACACACACACACACATATCTTGAAAGACAGAAACAACAAGACCGTTACCCGGGGACTTTTTTCTGGGGACTTTTCCGAAACAAAGAACCAAGAATATCATGTTCAAACACGGGTTTTGAACCCTCTTCGTTGCACTGGTGGCCACCAGCGCTAGAGGTCGGTCATTTTTTTTTTCTTCATCATCAAGAAAGATCAGCAACATGCCTCCCAAGGCTTCCAAGAAGGGCGAGAAGAAGGCCGGCAAGGCCAAGGCCGTCGGCGAGAAGGGTCGCAAGAAGCGCCGCAAGGAGTCTTACTCCATCTACATCTTCAAGGTCCTGAAGCAGGTGCACTCTGATACCGGTGTTTCCTCCAAGGCCATGTCCATCCTCAACTCGTTTGTCAACGACCTCTTTGAGCGCATTGCCAACGAGTCGTCCCGTCTGGCCAAGTACAACGGCAAGTCCACCATCTCGTCCCGCGAGATCCAGACCGCCGTCCGCCTCTTGCTCCCCGGTGAGCTGGCCAAGCACGCCGTCTCTGAGGGCACCAAGGCCGTCACCAAGTACACCAGCAGCAAGTAAATTTGCCAGTCTGGTCAACCTTTCCAACTCCCAAATGATGGTCCAGTGACCGTCTCTCATCAACATCCTCCAAACCCGGTGTTCTTAAACACCACTATTCCCATCATCTTGCTACTTGCTACTTGCCTCTGACCTGTTGTTTCCGGCTGGGAAGCCGCTGTCTCCCTGGTCAATAATATTGCACTAAAGCTTGAGAAAGACAAAGGAAAAATGAAAGGCTAGACGGAGGCTGTATGGCAGTCGAGCTAGTGCCATAGGAAACAGCGAGTGTGGTCCGCGGAGCATGAAGGACTGGGTTGATCATGTGATGCTATTTGTTGTATACAAGCACTCAATACTGCAGCCTCAACACATCAGGAGGCGTCATAGTATTATTATTTTATCATAAACAAGGCACAAGCGAACCTTCCGCCACTCAGGCTTCAACGCCGAGCGTGAGAGATCTGAGAGCACCCGTCAGGCAGTCGTTCATCAGTGCGGGCTACAAGGAAGACAAGAGGGTTGGCGTGTACATAAGTCGGATGCTCCCACCTCGCGACGCAACTGCTGCACATCAGCGAGGAGGCGCTGTTGTTGACGCTCCAAACTATTTCGCTACACACACAATCACCCAAGTTGAACGCTGGACCGCTCCGCCTGGGCCAATTTGAGTGGAACAACGAACCTGATCCCGCAACGAAGAAGTCAACTGATCTGCCGCCCCTTGCTGGGCATCGCTTTCCATAGCCACGTCCACTCGCTGACGGTATGACTATATGGCACATGGAGGCCAATGAGCATCAGGCGCACGAGCAAGGTCGGGGGGGGCGAGGCTGGCGTGGGGACCGCACATCAAAGCGAAGCGAATCCGCATGCTGTTGCTGGTCAATGCGCTGGTCCAGCTCTTCAATCCACTCTTCGAGTCTATCCGGGGACACGGGCGTCAGCGTTGCCCTGTATGGTGGCGCGTGAAACCGGCATCAGGTAGGCGATACTCACGCGTGTGTCTGGCGATAAAGATCCGAGAAAGAGGTTGATGGTTGAGACGCCCCGTCTGCGGTCTCGTCCGGCTGCACTGCGGGCTACGTCACGGTCACAGGCATACGGCTGTCAGCTACCATAAATGCTCAGTACTGGAAGTCTGCTGGACCTACCCCTCGAGGCGGTGTCTCTAGAACTTGTCGTGAGGTTTGTTTTTTGGCTGCATGCGCCTGCTCTCGTGGTCGGGGCATGGTGGCCTCTAGCGTGCCTAAGCGGCTCGTTGCACTTGTCGACACAGTTGACTCGCCCAACTGAACCAGGCCCAATCTGATGAGAGGTAACATCCGAAGAAACATGCAAAATACGCCAGCACCAAGGCGCACCTGCAACATTTTGAGCTCCTGTTGCCGGCGCAAAGCTTGCAACTCGGCTCGTTGTGCGTCAAGTCGCAGCTCGTCAGCTTTGATCCTGTGAACCGGCACCAACATCACCAATGTTGAACGACAAAACCCGCTTCGACCAGTCGAAATGCGAGACCTGCAAGGGGGTGGGGGCTTCAACCGATGAATGCCAGGCCACGTACTCGTCTTCTTGCGCGCGCATGGCAGCTTCAAGAAGCTCCTGACGACGTGCCTGACCGGCACGCTAAACATCAAGTCCACATGAGCTGCAATGAGCCAGTTACAGCTGGCCGGTAATATGTGGATAAACCAAACAGCAGACAGCACGAGATGTCAACCTGTGCTGCAACAAGCCCCAGCTGTCGTCCTTCAGCCATGAGCGCCGTCCGCTCCTTGAGCAGGCGCATCTCCTCACGACGAATGCGCTCCTTTTCCTTGAGCTTCACGAGGAGAGTTGAGCACGCCACATGCATGAGGGTCTTTTGACAGTACGAAGAGCCCTGTGCGTCACAATCAACCCAACCAAAGCGGTGCATCGCCGCTGACCTGATAGTTGACCACAAAGGCTGGATACTCCTCGAATAACGGGTAATCCTGCCGAGAGAGCGGAGCAAAGCCCTGCACGCGCGAAATGCGAGATGTGAAATTCGTGCATGTTTCCACTCAGACCCCAGACGCTGTCCCAAAAGCGAGGCCATTATGCTCGAAATAGCCAAGCCTACATCAAAGATTCGTCGCAAGTCCACCTCCTGATTCGGGGTCTGCAAAATGGTGTAGGCGCGTTGGACTAGTTGGGCCACGTTGAGGCTATGCTTGTGGTGCAAAAGCTGGTACAACTCGTCGCAACTGCGGCATTGCATCAGCTTGACCCGTAGCTCCATCAGGAACGAAACCACCACGGCAAAGAGGTAGGCGGGATGATTGGATAGAATGTTGTCCCACACCACCAACCAGTCCTTCTCATAGAAGACTTCGGACAGCACTGTGTAGAGCAGCGGCCAGGCGTAGAGGTCTGCCGTAGCCTCGAGTCGAATGAGCGCTCTCAGGAGAGCCTCGTCGTGCAACGCAAGCATGTTCTCAATCGCGTTCAAAGCCTGCACACGCACCATGCATCACCGTGACCATGGCCAACACATGTGCAACATTATAAGAGCGGGTCGCCTCGTATAAACGAGACGAGCACGATGACACTCACGCTGATGGGCGGATTAGGGAAAAACTCAAACCATGCTCGACCCCAATTGAACAAGACCGTTGCGCACACTTCAAACGCATCCATCTATATGAGTACAAGCACCATGTCAAGTCAACTTGCGGCCATCTTTGCCCAGACGACCTGTTGCTGGCTGGCCACCATCCACGCGTACGGGTGAGTTTTGGAAAAGCTTGACAAAAGGAAAGACAGCAGCGGCGATAAAGTCGGCTTCAGCAAAGACAGGACTCCAATGGGACAGACAAGATAAGGTCCTACGTCAGCCGCACAGGGATGAGTTGGCAGTGCAAAGCCATGAGACATCCTGAGAGAATGAATGTTTAAAAAGAGTTTGTGGAAAGTTGCACAGGCACCCGCGATATTGCCAAAGGTTGACCAAGATCAAACGACGCACCTCTGGAGCACGCGCAACAGCTTGCGAGACTTGATGGGATACTTGCGATGCAATTGAAGGTGAGCAGGATGGGTGCCAAGCTCAAGCAGGCGACCAAACGCCTCGGCATTTGATGGCGTTTGCAGGACAATGCGCCAGATGATGCGCCTAGAAAACACATTATTCATGAGCACCCTGTATGTTTGCCTGTCCCATGGCGTTTTACACACAAAAGCATGAACGGCGTACCTATATTGGGCTGGGTACTCTCCGAGACCGTGCAAGACGTCACGGAGCTGAGCAAAAGAGACTTTTGGCATGTACTCTCGCTAAGCATGAATGAAAAGCCGTGCTCGTGAGTACGATTTGTATGAACGGCGCAACAAAAGTGAAAGCAAAGCGATTCACCTCCGCCGACGTCAGCTTGGGCCCTGCGGAGGAGGCCTGGCTCGAGGAAGCCGTTTCCCAGCACCCGCGCGCCACGTTCTAACGCCAGGAGCATGTGAGCACGAGCAAGCCTCCGAGGGACAAGCCACAGTGGTCGCAAGGCTTGTTGAAAGTATGAAGCAAAGCAATACACTCACCCATTGCCGCGCAGTGGTAGAGTTGGTGGTGGTGCTGTCGTCACGGGACGCTTTGAGCGAGGTGCTGGTGACGGGGGTAAAGGCTTGCGTGGGCAACGTGGTCGCACGCGCCATGCCCTCACGGCGGGAAGCGCCCAGCCGCGCCTCCATGTGATTTGCTTGCACGGCTGCTGCACGAGAGGCACCACTGCCTGTCACGCGCAAGCAGGCGTCGACGTCGTAGACGCCCAACTGCCCGCTAATGAGCGTGGCCAAGAGGTATCTAAAAGTGTCACAAAGAAGAAGTCAAAAATCCCAAGGTAGAGACAACAGCTTGTGAGCTAGGCACGCGACAATGCGAAAGCGACCACGACATGGTCCAACGCACAATTGCAATTGAAGAGAACAAGCAAAGCAACAAGAGTCCCGAGCATGTGCTTACCGAGAGCGCGGGTTCCCACTGATGGCATCTATAAATACGTCGTGTGGTGGTCCTGTGGCGTGAACAATTCAAGTCACAATTGTCAGTACAGAGGCATTTAGCTTTGAACAACCGTGCCATGAAGCCAATCGAGGGCAGCTCTCACCGAGTTGCGCATAAATGGCACCCGTGTCCGGGGCACACAGCGAGAGAATGCCGTCTTGCGCAAGGATAGCCAAGAGTTCCCCTGCATTTCGTGCCCCATGAGCAAGGCAAGATGCCCGTGAAGATGCGCAGAGGATGGCTGAGCGCCAAGGGTGCTACGTACGACGGCTTTGATCAGCGACAAAACTCAGACCAATGACACTCTTGGCCTCTGGGAGGGAGATGGCTCGCTCCAGCTGTTGCGTGCCCAGGTTCCACAAGTATGTATGCCTACAGTTTGAGATGATGCATCAGATGCCAAGGCGGTTCATGAGAGATGACAGGTCAAGTGCACGCTGGCTCGTGTGTGCAATGCAACCGGGAAACAACGACAAACGTACGCGCCCTTGCCCGCAGCGGCCAGTGTGGTGCCGTCGGCAGAGAGGGCGAAGCAGCGCAGTTGATGGGTCGGCGCATGTCGTTCGGGACCATCAGTGGACGATTGAAGCGATGACAACAACGAGCTGGGAACGCGCAGCTCAAGCTGGTACTCGAGACGGTCCGCAGTCCATGTCATGATGACATCGTTGCGAAAACACGTAACGACCTCTCCGCGGGCATTGTTGAAAAAGGCCTGCGAGTGTACCATCATTGGTGTGTTGTCGGGGTCATGCTGCGGAGCGCAGTCTCTTGCGATTGGGGGTCAGGCAGGCTTCAACAAAAAGCGGGCTAAACACGTACTGTGCGAAGACCAATGCCTTCAGCCCCGTGCAATGCTCGCAATGAGTCCAGTGTCTCGGCATCCAGTAGCAAGGCCTCGGCCGCTGAGGTTAGGAACATGAAGAGCGTAAATATGAGCACGAATGCCAAAAGGTGTCTCACGTTGGCTACAGCAACGCTGGGCAGGATCTGGAGACAAGTACGGCCAGCAATCGGATAGTAATGCAACCATACCACACGCCGCAAGTACACGTTTTCCCGTGTAATCGGCCGATAAATGATGAACCACATGGGTTGGGTCGTGCACCTCGGCCAAACAAGTGCAGCGATCTAAACCAATCCATAGCATAATGAAGCAGAGTACAAAACCAGTTGAGATCTCTCAGGGCAAGAACGGTGAGCCCAATCAAGAGAGCAGGCTTGGTCTTGAAACGCACCAATACTGTACAACATTCGGCGCCCATCCGCAAGCGCTAGCACCACCTGCAAGTCGGATCGGAGGCAGCCATGAGCTCGACAAGAAAAGAAAGCATAAAGCCACCGGCCGATACGAGGCAAAGAGATTGCATATCGGACCCGATCAGCGTTGAGATAACAGCTGGCTGTAGGAAGTGCTTTGCAGCGTGCTACGCGCACAAGCCTGACACAGTAAGGTGAGGGTGAATGGAAGGTGAGTTCTCCAAAAAAAGGGCATATATGATTGCTTCACGCGCCGCTGCTCGGACCGACCTTCGAGAAGCAAAGTGTAGATGCCAAACATCGCCTCGCTGATCACAAAAGAGGGTGGCACTGCCATCTGGTGCATGGCATGCCTGCACGTTTCAATCATTGCAGACGCGTCAGCTTGATGCGACGCCTGTCCAGGGCGAGGTAAGCGAAATGTTGCGCACGCGCATTCTCACCTGGGCCACTCGATAGGTGGCAAAGGTGTCGGACGGAACTTTGCCTCGACGCCGATGCGTAATGGTGAACAGGCGCCCACTCTCGGCGGGTGGCAGCAAACCGATGTCGAAAGGTAGCGTTGAGCGATCTGCCAGGCCCTGTAAATCCACGAGCTCGGTCATGTTGCTGTTAGGTCAAGGACCGGCGAGCCCAGCCGGTGCCAGCCTGGATCCAAAACAGCCAAGACGACCACCCCGCGTCTCGGCCCAAACGTGTACTTGGTGTGCCAAACAAAAAAACCCCACTCCCACATGCACAAACCACTCTCAGAGGCTTGTCCACCACGCCCGTGTCCCTCTCGCGCACTCTCTCTCTCGCGCTCTCTCTCGCTCGCTCGATTCGTTTTCAAATTTTCGCGGTTGTTGTTCCCCCACAATTGTCAGATGAAATAAATGAGCGATAAAGTGTGATATTTGTGAGACTTACGCTTGACGACCAGCAGCAAAGCATCTCTCCGGACGAGCGCAGACGGCAGTCAGTCTGGAGGGGGGGGTGGTGTTGTTCGGCTGGCGCGTGGAACTGGATCTTGGTAGTGGGCGGTTGTCCAATTTGATAGAAGCTGGTGCCTGGTGGCTGCTTTGTATCGTCTCGGAGCTGACGGTATCCCCTCGATTGATTTGAAAAGGGCACGAGCACACGGGTGGCGCCGCTCCTGGGTTGCATCTCTGTGGCTGGCAATCCGAAGCTTGCAACGTTGCGAATTGACCGACGAGATGCCCGTGGTGGGTCAGGCATGGGTCGAAGCAGGTGCGGCGCTTGCTGCCGAGCCCAAGCGGATCCGCTCCTTGGTTGTCCAGCAAATGCAACAGCGGGCCTATGAGACTGAGGTGGAGCCCCATGCCGTTGATTTATTCACGCATGTGGCAGCATTTTGCGCCCGACAACACTACGTGGCAGAGCAAATGGCTGCCGCTCTGGCCCTGGTGGACCAAGCTTGGACGGCCTGCTTGTCCACCAACCTGGACAACTTCAACGAGACGCTGGAGCGCTTTGAAACCGATTTGATCAACTGCACGGTGCATCGGCCCCCATTCAGCGAACACATTTTCTCCCTCGAGCAGGCCAAAGCATTACTGGATTATGTGACGCGCACGCTTTTTGCGCACTTCCACATTTACAAGCACGTGTGCACAAAGCTTCCGCGGCTTGAGTTGACGCTCGATGTTCAGCTTCTGGACACCGGAGTACGCTCCTCCTCTGCTGCACTGCGGGCAGCGGAAGGTAAAAATGATAGGGAGGGGGCTCGTGGGGAAGATGCAACTTCCAACAGCAGTGGAGATGGTGCCGCCGGCGCTGTGACCTCAGCGCCGGCCGTAAACACCGACGTTTCCCAGATTCCCGCGGAAGACGTCGAGGCGCTGCTACAAACAGATGCTGGCCAGCACCTGAAAGCCTTGGTCGAGAAGGCTCTGCGCGAAAAGGTCAACCCGCCCTCTGCCGACGAGAATGAGGCATAACTGTACTCTGACCACCCCTGTTTCTCGACCTTGGAATGCATAAGGGGTGTGATACTTAACGACGAGCCAAGCGCCGGGCGCGTTTGTTTGTGTGGTTGTGCTATGTGGTTCCATACGCCTTGACAGTGGTGTCCCGCTTGAAATTGAACCTGCTACCATGCGAGCTACCGCATTCATCCGTGCTGTGCACGAGTCTTGATTCCACGACGTTCAAGCGGCGCCGGCGAGCAGCCACATCCGACCTCCTTACCAACACACACACACACACACACACACGTTGTTGTCAAGCTGACAAACATCATGCACAAACTTACAAGTCCCATCTCTTATTCCTTCCCTGACATTCTCCCACTCTCTCAATCATATCGTTACACAAGCCAACCTTGAATCACTTTGACACTCACAAACTTCATTCTCTAAAACGCTTTCTCAAACTCTCTCTCTCTCTCTCTCTCAAAAATTTATTTTTCTTTTTTGATGTCGAACTGGTTTGCGACTCGAGGGACCACTGGGTGCTGCATCCTGGTGCCTGCCTGGGTTCTCGCTGCTGACCGAGGGCACGTGTGCTATTGCAACAGAGAGTCAGAGCTGTTATAATACCGAGCAAATTGTGCCGCCACACGGAGAGTCGAACGTTTGACATGGCGGCTGCGCGTGAGACGGAAGCCGCTCTGGCCATTCCAGCCGAACAAGGTGCTCCCTCAGCTCATGGTTGGATCAAATGTAGCCCTGCCCGTGCCTCACTCGCGTCTATTTCGTGTGGAATGCATTTGCTTCTTGATAGCCAGCCCAGCTGCTGCGCTCCTGGCACGGCAGCAGCTGACAGAGGCCCAAACAAACCAGCTTCAGGAGCTGATCCAGGTTGGTCACGAGGCTGGACAACATGCTTGTCGCCCATGGCACACGGACCATCACCCACTCGTCGTCCTGTGGTTGTCCTGGGCTGCCATCTGATAGGGGATGCAACGTGATATAAACTGCCTGGGTGACGAGGACAAGAACGTGCGCAAGAGTGGCATCAAGACGCTTCACGTGAATATCTTCGGCGGCCTCAGCGACAATGACACACAGTGTCGTTTTGAGCCACCCGTCGCCAAGGCAGGTTCCCATGCAGCTGGCTTCCACCTGTTTGCTGGCACTCTTACTTATGCCACTGTGCCCGACTGTGCTGTTTCTGATTCATGCATAGGCCCTCTTCGCGCATCTTCTCAAGGCCATCCTTCGCCTGTACGGCGATGCCGTGGAGAAGACGCGCGAGCTTGCCATCGACCTCGTTTCCAAGTACGCCCTTGACCCGTTCCACCTCACAACGAGCAGAGCTTGACACTCTAACCCTCTTGCAACCCTTTTGCCCCTCTTCATCTTCCTCATTCCCCTGCACCCTGCTCTTTGACAGGTTTTTGCACCTAGGTCCTGAAGGCTTCCTGCCTTACTACATTCCCGTCCTTGTTGCCCGTCTTGGTTCGTCCCGTCCGTGGTTAAAGTGGCAGCCACCCTGACTCGCGTCTTTTCGTATGCTTCCCGCGTCTTGCTTGCTGCCCTTCATCTCACGGGCAACATTGGCCACTCTTGCAGGTGGCAAAGAGGTCCAGGAAACTGTAGAGGAGCTACGTGCGGCTCTCATGCAGCAGGTCGAACGCGTCATTGACACGCAGTCTGGCCAAGACTTGGGCATCTACATTGATGAATGGCTTCAGGTTCAACTCGCTTGCAGCTTCAATCCTGTCATTCATGAACCAGTGCGCACCGGCGCCTGGGACCACACCTCATGCAATACGCGTGTTTGCTGGGGACTTGGCATGATACTGCATGCAGGTCTTCCGCAAGATGATTGATGATGAGTTTGCCGAGGTCAAACGCATGGGTTGCCGCTGCACTGGTCAGTGCTTAAAGTCACTCCCTCTTCGGGGCATGCTAAGAGCGGCGCACACTCTCATCTCATGCATGCTGCTTTTGCTCTTCAGTCCTACTGGCCCGCAAGACGCCCGAGCGATTCCACATGGCTGCTGGCCAGCTCGTGCCACCACTGCAGGCAGCACTGGTGCACCAGCATACAAAGGTGCGTTCCCTTCCTTATTTGCCCGATTTCCCGGCGTGACTTTGCTGTCTGCCACCTCACTCGATGTGGTTGGTCACTCAACGCCACCACGCCAAGGTGCGAGCGGTAGCCGTGCGTGCTCTGGGGGCCGTCGTCCAATACGGCCAAAACAAATTGCTGGACGATGTGCGCACCAACATGTCCCAACGCGTCATGGATCATAGCCCTACCGTACGCAAGGCTGTCTACACGGTATGCTGCTTTTGCTGACGCCCGAATCGGTGAGTGGCTGTACCGCTCAGGCTCAGGCTCAGGCCAACACTTCTTCTTTTTTAGATTGCGGGCCGCTGGCTCTGCGAGTTGCGGGACCGTTATTCCTACTGGCACAAGCTGCTTCCCATGCTATTGCCGGGTGAAACTGACGAGGTCGAGGAACTGCGTGTTCTCAGCCGCGAAGCTTTCATCAAAGCTGGCCGTCTTTATGAACAAGAGAACGAAGAGCGCCTTAAAGACCAGGTACCATATCTCACTGCACCATCTCGAGCGTGCTTGCTTGAAGACCAGCTTCTTCTGTTCACCCTTCCACATATCTTGGATAAAGCTTGATTTTCGAGCCTCGGACAACGATGGGGCAGCTGTGAGTGCCCCGCTGGGTTGCCGGGAGCTAGTCAAGGAATGCTTCTCCAAGATTTTCCCAGGCTTGCTCAAGGACATGATTGAGTGGACAGCCGATACAAGAAGGTTGGTTCTGACAGCAGGCAACTTCAGGTCCACATGCTCGCCTCGCCCGCTGCCGATGGTGGCGTAACTGGAGACTCAACGCCCGGTGGGCCAACGATGCACCACATTGCAGGCAAGCAGCACGACTCATGCACACGTTGCTCCGCTACGAGGGCAAGAACGTTACCATGCACCTTCAAAAGGTTTGACCTTTGTCTCCTCGCCGTCAGCCAGGCGCTAACGCCTGTTTTGAGTCCTCATCATTCTCCGCTAGGTGGTCGGTGGCCTCATGCAAGCCTGTTTGGATGAAGAGCCGGACATTGCAAAACTGGTGCGTCTGCGCAGCCTGATCACATTGAGAAGGGCAGGCACATTGAGAAGGGCAGGCACATTGTCGCAACATTGTGCCGCTTGTTTGGAGCAGTGCGTCTCCTCATGGCCAGGCACGAACCTGTAGGTGGTGGAATGTGGGGAAGAGATTGGGCGTTCAGCTGCCTTTGAGGCGTGCGCCGCTGTCATCTACCCGGTCCTTCGTGATGCTGGAGCCTCGGAGCGCCAGCATGCCGCAGCTCTGGTACGCTTTCTTCACAAGCATAGCCCGATTATACAAGAGTCCATCTGGCCATGGCTTGGCCCCCCATTCTTGTTGTACACCACAAAGTTGTGCCGTGCGTTTCTCTTTTAATGTTGGTGTATCTCCTTAGATTATGCTGGCAGCTTTTGTGCGTGGAGCCGACGTCACAGACATGAGCACGCAAGCTGCTGCGCTTTGTCATGCCCTTGCTGAAGCCAATGTGCGCGAGGTGTGTTCGAGGCAACAGACGATTGCTTCGCACCTTTAGCCGCATTCTACTCGATGCCAAGCACTCGTCGTACTCACGCGCGTGCCCATGTCTGCAACTTCAACAGTCAGCCTCGCGCATGGTTCAAGAAGAGCTGCTGTTGTGCATTGCTGACGTGATTGGTGCGATGCTGCCTTGCTGACGGGTTTTGGGCGTCAATCTGAAACACTTCACGAACTGAACGATGGTGGACTGTAGACAAATTGCAAGACCAGGTTGCACCACATGGCCTCGAGCTCTTCCATGCCACCCTCAGCGTATCTGCCTTGAGCAAGGGCCTGGACGCCGAGGTTGGTCTGGCCCAAAGTTTCACAAATGCTGCACAACGAGGTGATCCTGATGTGCACTTTGCACTTTGTTGCTCGGTGTAGGTGGAGGTTGCGCTACAGCGCTTGGCCACCGCGGTTGGCGCTTCCAGTCCAGATGGCCTTTTTGCTCAGTACACTCAGCCTGTTCTTCAACGCACTATTCAAGGCAGTGAGAGCTGGGGTGTGCATAGGTATGGCCATGATTGATCACACGCATGCCGGTACGCAGCCTCTCGCTTACTCAGACGCAAATGAATCGCTTGTCTTGCTGGATGGCAGCCCTGCCCGCCGACTCTTTTCGGCACTGCTATATCGGGCAGGAAGTGCACTTGGGGCCCTCTTGGACCTGGTCTTGCCGGTTTTTGTAGCAAACTGTCAGCCTGAGAAGGATGTGGAAGGTACGCCCTGCCCTTTCGATCGACTCGGCTGAGAAATGACCGACGAGAGCCCTGATATACCTTTTTTTTTTGTATCATCCCGCGGCTTATTCCGTCTTGTAGTGCGCATCCGCTTCTTTACGCTTTTGGGCCGCCTGCTCACGCACGCTCGTGAGGGCATCAATGCTGATGGCAAGCTATCCAGCCACACACGAACCATTGTACGAAGCTGGTGTACATCATCGCCGTTTACGACGCCCCGCTATAGATTGTCTGTCAAGTGGCATTGGATCTCTGACGCCATGTATTTGTTTGCAGATTAAGCAGCTTGTTTGCCCCAATTTGGTTTGGCAATCAGGGGACAAAGCTCAGGCAGTTCGGGTGGCAAGCTTGTCGTGCCTCTGGTCACTGCTTAGGTCAGTAAGCGAGGGTTGAGCAGCTGGCGCCCATTCAGAATAATCATAGTGGACTCCACTCATGTCACCTGGTTCTGCTAGAACGGAGACTGTCAGTCATGAAGACATCTTGGATGTGGCAGCTGATCTCCTGCCTCTGGTCTGTTTGCGCGTTGTCTGTCAGGCTTTGTCTGTTGCTTTCTATCCGCGTCTTTCCTCTTCAGCACCAATCTCCCTATGTCTTTTTTTTTTTTTCCTTTTTCCTGGGCCCTTGTTGATCTTTTTGCATGCGCCTGCTTTGCATTGTCATTTCGGTTCCAGCTCGTATCATCGATGGAAGACTCGGCTGTAGCTTCGCGAGTTCTTGCGGTGCGCGTGTTGGAAGAAATCTTCCGCCTTCACGGCACGCTGTTCCAAGCCAGCTATGAAACATACGATCGTTTGCACAAGCTGTACCCGGACCTTTTGCGTCGCCTCGACGACAGCGACAACGACGTCCGGTACGAGCCATAATTCCCTGGCCGAAGAGCACAAGTTTACTGCACTGTGCCTTGTGTGCATCAGTGCGCTTGCTCAAGATGTGCTGGTCTCGCTCTTGCTCTAGCTTGCTGACGTGCCAGGCCTGGATTGCTTATCTTCGCATCATGGATCACGACACGTATGACAACGACCTCTATAAGGTGTGCCCACGGTCCTCCAGAAACATTAGCCCCCTTATCGAGCTTACGCATCGCATTGACCTGATACAGGCACATTCCGAGGCGATTTTTCGTGGCCTCTTGATTCATCTGGATGATCCTGATGAGCGTGTTCAGGTGGGTCTTGGTTCTGTTTGAAATGCCGGAACCTTTTCCAGATCGTGCGGTTTAAACTTGGTAATTTTGAGTCGTGCTCAGCTCACCGATCACACATGAATTTGACGCAGGATGCAGTGGAGGCTGCGCTGCAAGCTGGTGCAAAGGTGAACGAAGAGATCTTTCGAGAACAGATTGAGGTTGGTGTCTGCCAATCATGTTTGTGCATGCTTCGTAGCTCTGTGACGTGACCAGCCTGACCGTCTTTTTCTCAACACCTGCAGGCGGTTCGACAAAAGCATCGAAGCCCTGTTCGGTGCGATCGCCTCTTAGCACTTGTGCATTGAGGGACAGCCGTGTGCATGAACAGACATGGCACTTTTGCGGCATGTTTCATTCAATTAGCAACACTTGACATCTGCGCAGGCTCCTCTTTGAGGAAACTAAATTGACAATCACCAGGATTTATGTGATGCTGTCAACCAGCATGTCTAGCGCTGTTTCATGCAATTTTTCTGAAGAGGAAGTTGTTTTACTCCACTTTCAGGCAATGTGCAGCTGAAGCACTCCGCTACAGTTGGCGGGGGTACCCTGTGCGTTCAGAACAAGGACGCTAGCACGAAAGCTCGTTCCTGATGTATTCGTCACCACGTTGCACAGTCCAAAACCAGCACCAGCGCCAGTCACATCACCGCAACGCTCCACCTGGACATGGCAGGCCACGACGGCATCTGTGGGCAGTAGAAGTAAGGATTCGGATAGATCAACATCTAGGATTGTTGGCGAGGTTGCAAACGAAAGCTTTTGGCGCGCGACAGTGGCAAGGGCGCCAATGTTGTTGCTAATGGAGACATTGAAAATACTGTCTGGGGCGATGCTGTTCCCGTTGGTGGCATTCACCCTGATACCTAGTCAGGGTGCGAAAGGAGCTTGTCAGGCGCAAGCAAAGCAGTCGGATCGGCTCAAAAGCAGGTGTAGCCACGGCACCTACGAGGTGTGGCATCTGGGCCTGGCTGGAAAACATTCTCCATTATCACCATGTTAACCAGACTGCTATTGGCAGCACTGGGCGACAGCAGAAGTTGGGCTTCATTATAAAACATCGTTCCGGTGATGGTAACCTGATAGGCGAGCTGATGCAAGTCGAGATAGCAGTTGTCGACGTCTAAAATACACAGCACGTGAGTCAAAGTGAGTGGGTGTACATCCCCAGCAGAGCTGCACACACACACACACACACACACACACACACACACACACACACACACACACACACACAAGCAACAAGATGCACATACAACTATCAGTAATGCGAGTGCTGCCGTATATATCAAAGCACGCGGTTGGGTTCAAGCCCAGTGGGTTGCAAGATGTATAAATGTGTGTGGCACTAATTACATTGGATGCACTCGAACTGACGATGCCTCGCCTACATGAACCATAACCGACGAGTGCAGCGGTATGATGAGATAAGCGTGCGCTCCTTCTGCGGCAGGCTGTGTTCATCACCATCTCCCGTACTTGGCGCAACGAATGATGGTGTTGAGGACAGTCGAGTCGGGTTGCCCCATTTGGATGGCCACGGCCGTCGTGGTGTTGGTTGAGTTGTAGCCCGGTTCGCCCCAGTGGAACTCCTCAAAAAAGCAGCCCGAGATCAAAAGCTCGTGGCCATTGCCCGAGTTGCAGAGAACGCCGTAAGACTCAAAATGCGTAAAAAAGACGTCAACAAGCTGACTTTGTAAAATCGTGTCAACCTGGCCAGACAAAACGGGTAAGCGCGGTCTCACAAATCCAAGTTTTAAATGGTGGTTCGCGCCATCGGCAGGATGCTTGCACCGAAGCTTACCAGCATTCCGCCGCCGCGATGCTGATTCTCTGCAAAAGAAGCGACAGACCAGCGGATAGGTCACACAGATGATTGCGGCATGGGCCTGCGCACAGACGCAGAACAGAATCGAAAACAGGTGTTCAGTGTACGCACCAAAGATCATGTCACGCCATGTTATTTCGCTACAAGAGTAGCAAGCCATGAGAAAGTCGGAAGACGCAAAGTTGGGGCCCGTGACCAATGTGCCACCGGCCATTACAAAGCCGGTGTGGCTCGAGTTGAAGTAGATGTGACTGTCCAAGCGGTAGACGCCCCCCACCAAGTCTATCAGTACATCACCAGCACCTGTCGTGTTTACCATTTATATTAGCTGGGTGAGAAGTGAAGAGAAAGGCGAGCCTTGGAAGACAGGCCGTAAACCAGCGGGGCCAATCCCAAGTCGCACCAACGTCTGACTTGCTGATGCGATGGTTGAGGGTCATGACATGGTTGATGGCGGCTTGAATGGCATCGTGGCTGTCACTTTGCCCCGTAGGATCGGCACCAAAGGCAGTCACATCAATCACGTATCCTGCTCCCCACCCCCCCCCCCCCCCCCAACAAAAAAAAAACAGC